AGATATAGATATATATATATATATCCGATAAATATAAAAGATTGAATAAATATCTATATATATAAATGCACATCATATCTTTAGCAATACCAATATGTATTTGTTGATTGACTTCGATGTATACGACGAATATGCAGTCGATATTCTGCACTCAAATATTCGTGGTCTTGGTCAAGGTTGACCTTTCTTTCCCATTAGAGGTGTTGCAAAATTGGGTTAAGTTCATAATGGGAGTCGTTTTTGGGTTGATTTTGAGCTTCAAACTCCCGATCGGTCGATAAACTCCCCTTTCTGGATGTATTTCAGAAGATCTTGGCGTGCCGGTTCTGGGGCCTCCAACTCGAATAAGGGAACTCACTCGAACTAATACAGTGCGAGCTGTCATCTGCTTCAGGCTTACAGTCTGCCTTGCCGTCGGGGAAGGCAAACTTGAAGCAGCAAAAGGCTGTAGCCGCACTTGACCTCAGTCGTCAATGCAGCACCAAGTGTGAGATGTGGCATGCAGCATGCCTACACTGGCGAGGTCGTGCCCTGATTTCCAGGCCAGCCACAAGAAGAACAAGATGATGATCATTCCGACTATCTCGAAGTTGTTGTTGAGCTCCACGATAAATCTCCATGAAGTGCTGTGGAGACCTTCAGATGGATCTAATTTCGCAGCACATGGCTCGATCTCTACCAAGGTTGCCTTCGTGCGTTGCAAAAGCACCCAGCAGCTCTAGCGCCCCGACGGCCAAGGCAATCCTTGGTTGGATATAAGAGAACTGCTCCGCAAACATTGCAGAAGACTGCCTGCGCTGCCCGCGCTCACATGCAAGTCCAGCCGCACAGCGGATGTTGCTGTCAAGAACATGTTGTAATACCTGAGTGATGCTGCTTACAGGCTTCCACAATTTTGTCTGAGACATGTTCAAACCGGCAATCCTGCCACCGACTCCTGCCTTCGAGTGGAGCCTTCGTTGCCAAGCTCGAAATACAGCGAACCCGGCCAGGCCAGAAGGCTACACGTAGGATTGCTGATCATTAAACAGGTTCCCACAGGCCACTATCTGGCCAGCTTCGTCTCGATGCTACTACCGGTCCCGCCGCAGCGGGTGCGTTGGTGGAAGACCGCAAATACATAAACCCTAAACCCTAAACCCTAAACCCTAAACCCCTATAAACCCTAAACCCTAAATCAAATACCCGAAGAACAGGGGGGATGGAACTCCCGCGGTTTGCAGTTGGTTTCGCTCCTATGTTGCAGCATCATAGCCTCTGATGCTAGTCTTGGTGGTCTACTTCTGGTTGTCTTCGTTTCTACTTCACGATCTGTGTGAGCATGTTTGAGACTGACATTCTTCTGCCCAAAGCTTCAGCCAATCTACAGTCGCTGCATGCTGCCGTCGGCTCCAGATCCGTAGACCAAAGCCATGAGCAATCCATTGATGGTGTCTATAAGACACATGCCTGCCAAGAACATCAGCGGGAGGAGCATGATGAAAACCTTCGCTGTGCAGCAGCTGAACATCTCAACCGCCCTACATCAACAGTCTGCTAGGCAACAAATATCTTGCGGTGGGTGACTGGGTGTGCAAGGCTATGCGAAAGGCCCACCTCGAATGTCGAATCAACTAAATGAGCTTGCAGGAACGGCTATGACAAACCAGCTGTGACTGTAAGCAACCTGTATTGCAGCGTACGCTCGCAAAAGTGCATGCAATTTGCAGCTTAAGGCTAAGTCTGCGACCATGGCCAGTACTGCTACTTCGCTCGAGGTATCAAAGCCCAAGCCAAATGCAATACCCACAGGATACCTGGTCTTTCGGCAATGGGCGATCTACCCGACGGAGACCGGCACACACACACACACATGGGACTATTGCCTAGTGCATGACTAGCGGCATCTGCCATGGAGCTGTGATTCCGGTGAACATGCCCGGACAGCAGGTCATGCACATGCCAGCCACAGTGTGCTCGTGCTCGCCGTATCCTGGATGCAATTGTAAGAAGCTTCAAGCATCTGCATTGGTAGCCGGTAGCCGTAGGTCCAGTGTTGCCAAGTGTCTGCTCTGCTCCTGAGACGGACACGATGCAAGCTGCCACAGAGAAACACGGTAGACTTAGGACCGGTCTTTCCACGACTGCACTTGCCGCATCAGAAGGAAGAAATTGACCGCCTGCTCAGTCTTCGAATTGGCACCAGCATGTTCGCACTTTTTTGTGGGAAACCGGGCACGGGACAGCAACGAAGACTCATCGAACCACCCGCCGAGCCCGAACAGCAAAACGATTGCACACTATAGTATAATTTGCCTGCTGTATCAACAGCTGCTGTAAGTCCAGCGATTGCTCAGCAATCCGAAAACAAAGCTCTCTGAACAAAACATCAAGGGTCCTCGGAGGCAGTGAGGGACAAGTGGACAGCGTTACAGTTGTGAAGGCAGCAACCACGTCTGCACGGCCTAGAGCCTTCTTTTCTCTATCAGTGGTCGGATTGCTGTGGGCCGGTTTCTTTTGTCATCCTGGGTTGCGAGCCGACACCTCGTTTTGAGGTGCAGGGTTGCCAAGCATCTGAGGGTTAGAACTTCCATCAACAGACTCCTTTACGGTTCAGGGTTCAGGGTTCCCGTCCGGCATCTCCATTTAACTGCAGCAGGGCCGAGCTAGCCGCAAATCATTTTGGGAGATGGCTGCCATGATGACGAAGCAGTGCTCACAACCATGTCACATTCAAAATATTCAGTATGGTCAGTACACATGCAAGCGGAAAGAGGGGTGGATTTGCATCAGGAGTCAGGGCCCAAGGGTGCCGCTCCGGAAGCTTGAGTGTATCGGAGTCGTGCGAGGCCGCGGGCTTGAGGAGGTCGGGCCAAGAGCCACGCTCTGACAGGGGCTTCCGACGACCAGCAAGGCCTTCAAGAAAAACCCAAAGCTTCGTATGTGGGGAGATTTGGCCGCCCAACACCTCTATGGAGGGTTCAGGCTTTGCAACAAACCCCCAGGGAGTCTCGGGCTTTCCCACACTATCGGGGCGACCGCGAGACGAAAGTTGACCCACTCGCGGTTGCGTTGAACAGAGGCCCCCATTCCCCCGTGGAATCCTGACCACAGGACCCGACTGGTAATCCTCCGGAACATAAAGGCCACATAGTTTGAAAACGATGCAAGACCCAGCCTGCTGACTAGGCCACATACTTTACAATCCTACACAACCCCCTACTCCGCAAGAGGTCTAGCCAACATCTCCTCGTTAGCAAATCTCTTGCCTAACATCTCCGTGTTGCTGCCCCGACTAACCTCTTAAGGGCTCAGCGTATCCCACAGTTGACTCGATTTTCAAACAACAGACTTGACTGGGAATCAGGTGCTCGTCCAACACCCACTTCAAGAATTTAAATAGCCACACAAATCCTGGCTGTAAGGGATTAGGGTTGCCACATGTGCTTTCCTGGAGTTGCCGTTGCACACTCATTGCCTTGAAAGGCAGGGATAGGAAGCATAAACATCCTGGGGCAAAACAAACCTGCCCTTGTTGCAGCACGTGCTTGTGGGGCTGTGTGTCGAGTTTCCGGTGGGGGAGGTGGAATGCCCAGGATGTAAACGGAGAGACTCTTGCAGGCTGGACGAGAGCTGCGGACTCAGCTACAGCGCGAATCTGAGAATCCAGCTGCGATGGCCACCAAGAAGCCTCGAATGGGTCAGGGAAAGACCTGCACCATTGTTGGCCTCTTTAGACATTAGTTGGATCCCATACTGGGCAAAGACGCCAAGCGGTGCAGATTTCGAAGGAGACAGACTACTCCTGCTTGACTCAGGCGGGAGGCTACCCGAGATTGTAGCTCCAAGAAGACCACCACTCGATTCTGCTCTCCTTCTGCACACTTGCTTCAGGAGATGCCGGTGCGGAATTGCTTTCGGACATAAAGCGAGTCCTCACGGCTTCATGCACCTGTGGGCTCGGCAGCGCCAGCAGTGCGCACCTCGTCAGGGAGGCGCTGGTCGGGGAGTTCGGGTTAATGAAGCCAGAAAAAGTAAGCCCGGGACACGATTACGACGACCGTCGAGTGGCCCAACGCGAAGAAGAAGCCCACAGTAACAGGCCGCCTTCCCCCGGTGGTGAGCCTGAAGAGGACAGCGAGGAAGAGCAGCACCGTGGGTTTCCGATAAAGCCGGACCTCCGAGTGACGTTATCGATCGCAGCGATGTGGTCTGCATCGACGGCATGTCTGAGCCTGGTCTACACAAGAATCTCACACTGCACTTGCTAATGTCAAGCACAGCCGAGACATCAACACAAAGGCTCTTGGAGCGGGACCCCAGACAGTAGGCCAACACTCCCATGGTCAGGAGCTCGGGCGCCAAGAGCAGTAAACAGCCTGCCAGAACCGCCTCGGCTGCGTCGGTGCATGTGCAAATCATACCTGCACGCCTGCCGTGGCTCCCTCCCTTGCATCTCACTGCTGGTGCTGAGATACCGTGAGGAGGGCGATGCCTGTCAAAACCTCGGCGACCCAAGGCATGATGCCCCGTGCAAAGTCGTGCTTCCAACCGTGCAAACATGTACAGCAGAGGACGCATACGCCTTGTTTCTGCCACGGTGCGGAACAAGTGTCCAGTTTAATGTGCCACACCTACTTGATTTATAAAGAGCTGACCCTTACGCGAGTGCGCGCCAGGCTCACCGCTCCAGCCGTTTGCTACACGAGCAAGGCACAATGCAAACAGAAATCGCCAAAAGCTGGTGAAAGGCATCACTACGCTACCCATAGCAGATACGAAGAACAGGTGAGAGATGAAAACAAAAGAATTCAGAATCGGAAGAGTCAAGTGCAGGAATGGCTAGAATTTACCTCAGTAAGCAGCTGCCTAGTAAGCCGAAGACTGGGAGGAAGGAAGGCAACTGACAACATGAGGGATAGTAGCAAGAATTAGATAAACAGGAATCAGGAGTCAGCGTGAGACCCTCGACCTGATCCCGGTTCTCTACCCTGACCCAACCGTATCGGCCATCTCATGCTCGCTCGGTGCTCCACATCAGAGGCGGCTCTCAAGAAAACTCGGCTCTAGTCCGGCACTCTGCAAGTAGATTCTCGTGGCATGTGCTGTGGCTCTCTTCCCTTCCGGTGAGATGCTGGAATAGCTTGCTTCTTGATCGCCTCCTTCCGGACTGCAGCTTTGTCACCGTCCTGTCCAAGCAGCTCCTGCCAGTTGTCGAATCACTTTCACGTGCATGCTGATAGGTGATGGTTGCATCACATATTGAGTTGCAGGTAGCTTGAGAACGTAAGCAATCTCATGGAGTCCTCGGAAAGCATGCCGCTGGCCGTCATCGCCCAGAAGGCAATTTCTGCAAAGGTTTCCGCGTCGACTGCTATCACGGTGCTCCCAGACTTTCTAGGCTGCGCTCTATGAGTCTGGTCTTGTTTTGCGGTCTGCAAGTCGTAGTTACCAACATGGCAGTGCTCAGCTGTACTCAGAAAGCTGTACGAAGTGTGACGTGGACAAACAGAAAAGCTCAACAACGCACTGCGGCAACAACCAAGCGTCACTGTCGAACTATGAGATTCGAGGCAGACATTTTGAGCCAAGCTGTATCGCTATCAGTGGTGTGCGCAATGGCTTGCATGCACTTGAGTGGGGGGGGGGGGGGCAAACCCTAGAGGCGGACAAATTGTGAGTGGTATCCCGGCTTCCCGTGGCAAAACGGATCTTGTCCGCCTCTAGTCTTGTTACAAGCAGCGACCGGGCTTTGCCGGTTGCTCACTTGTGGCCGTGGATATGTCCAGCAGACTTTGTGCCAAGGACAAACTTCTCCCAACAACCCTTCCGAAGAAGAGCCAGGCAGCTGCCCACTCGGAGATGTGCGCGCAAAGCATGCTGCCGGTTGCTATGCTGAAGCGGCCCCCCTTTGAGTGAACCACTGTGAAGTTCTCCAAAGCACGCGAGCTGCCTCGTTGGCAAGCATATGAAGCTCTTGCTAGCGACTTGTTGCTGATTTGAATTTGCATGACCGTTCAGCCAACGGTCCGCTGCGGTCCGGAAGTGAATCAAAGTTGAATTCCCTGCCCCTCGACGTGTTCAAGACCAAGCAAGCCCCTATGCTACATCAGTTCCCGAGGTAATGCTGCTGATGTCGGTCTGTCGAGACTGGATGCATAACCTTTTTGACTGAAGTTTGCACTCATTCGGATCCACTGCAAATCCATCCCCAGCTACGGTGGATGCATGTCTGACGAGCTGTGCATGCTGCCATTGAGACAAACTCATGCAGCCAAATCATCCTGACCATCATTCGTTTTGCTGCAATTGCCGCTACTCGCATTCTAAGTTCGAGTATTTCTTGTCTACCGATCACTTGAAAGTCCCGGAGGCTGAGCTCACAACTTTAAAACGCTCCAGTCGAATTACACTGGCTCTATTTGCTCCAACGCACACCTCCCAGACCAACGTGCACACCGAGGGTCTCCTGGCCAGGTTGCTTGGCTGCATCCGCATGTCAAACCACAGCGCCGCAAGCCTCCAGCAGAGAGCTTTAGCCCCAATCTACGGGTCATGAAAGAAGGCCTTGCACAGACATTCTACGATGCAGGAGTGCCTCTTCCTTCGGGAATAGATACTTGAAGCCAACGTATGCGGCCATAGCTATCGACCTGAGGTTTCCGGAGAGAAAACCTCTCTGTGCACGGGTACCTGTTGTTCTGATTGGGAGGAAGGGTTGGTACGTTAAAACTTTGAAGACAACACCAAACCGGAGGACCCAGAATCACTAGACTCTTGAACGGCTGGCTCCTACCCTAAACCCTAAACCCTAAACCCTGACTGTCAGGACCCAGGAACCTTCTAAGGCCTTCCGATCCCCTGAGAGCCGAGTGCGCCCCAAGGGCCTTTCATGCTCAGATTCGGAGTGTAGGGGTTATATTATCATATATGTTTGTAGTTTATTTGTATTACATTGTCTTATATTACATTACATTATATTATATTATATTCTAGGCCCTCTCACAAAGACCGTCAACGAGTCAAGGACTCTTCAGTGCCCGGATACGCTATCAGGCAGGATGATCAGGGACTACATGTTACCTCGCCAGGGCATCCCCCAGACGGTGGAACAAATGAGAAACAATATGAGCGTGAACAAGACGATGTTGTTGAAAAGGAAGACGGCGATGGCGATGGTGATGGCAACGATGGGAATGAGGATGATGCAATGACGGAGCGACGACGATTTTTCATGGTGATGGCGAACCTGATTATCACTGTGATTGTGCGCTGTGTTGACTGCGATTGCCATGCTGCTTCTCGGTTTATGTTTGCCAATCTGTTTGGGGACAAACCATCAAGGAGGCTGTCGGAGCTCTTTCTGCCGAGCGTCAGAAAGAAGACAACAATCACGATTCCCACCGTTTCAAAGTCATTGTTGAGCTCCACGATAAAATCCCAAAACGCACCATGAAGATCTGCGACATGCAGCAGGGAAATCACGTGGATCACTCACGGCTTGCTTACAGCCTTGCACGAATCTCCCGATAACTGGAAACCCACACTCCCTGCCTTCACAAGTTGCGATAACACCCAGCAGCTCCAAAACACCGACGAGGAGAGCGATCCTTTGTTGGATAAATTCCGATGTCGATACATCGTGAGCCACCCACAATGTAGCTGATTTCCAAGTATCGCAGCCGACGTTGCTGTCACGACCATGTTGTAGTACCTAGGTCAAGTGCAGGGCCAGGGAGGTGATCTAACGAAACCTGCAGCCAGCAACAACAAGTACGAGACCGTCGTAGGCTCCACAATTGCCACCCTTCCAAGACAGACAGTGCCTGACAGTGCTTTAAACGGACGGAGAGGAAGACCACATTTGTAGAATGAGTATGCTTATGCAGCCAACTTGCAGCCTCTGCTTGTTGCCATCTTTTCCCGATCCATAAACCCACGCCATGAGGATCCCATTGGCAGTGTCTATGAGGCACATCCCGACCAAGAACATGAAAGGGAGAAGCATCACCCACGCCTCCGTGCAGCCAGTTCAACATGAAGCAGCTGAAGTGAGTTACAGCTGGAGAAGACAAAGTACTTGTGGCCAGTAGCCGGATGCTCAAGACTGTGTGAAAGTCCAACCTGGGCACTGACGGATGCAGGAAGGCCAGAAAAATACTTCCGTCCGCAATGCGCAGAAACGTGATTGAACCACGCCCTCACATTGACATGTGCTGCAGCCCTAGTCACTTCAAACTATGTGTACTGCCGTGACAACCAACATGCCCTGGCAGTCCGAGATAGTCCGAGGTCAAAGCCATGGCAAGCACGGCGACTTCGCTTGAGGTCTCGAAGCCCAAGCCAAAGGCAAACCCGACTGGAAACCTTGTAGCCAGGTACACATGAGGCACAATCAGCCAATTGACTTGCAAGCAAGCCTGATGCAAGAGGATGTAATCGTCGCCAGGCTGCATGTGCCAGGGAGCTGCAATACCACTGAACAAGCCAGGACAGCAGGTGGTGTAGAACCCTGCGGTGGAATGATGATGGTTGGCATATCCTCAATGCAGCAGGAAAGCAGGCCGAGGTGGGACTTGTCTACGGGGCATCTGAGCTAAGCCTGCATGCATGGGGCAGGCATTCGAGGCCAATGTAGCCAAGAAGCTTCGATCATCCTAGACAAGGCCCAGCAGTCGCACACCGTGGTAGGAGAAACACACGGAATCCGGTGGGTGCAAGCGACAGCCATCAACATGCCCGAGCTAGCAGTCCTTCCAAGACCGTCCCATCCACAGAAGCAGAACGAAGTTGATGACCTGCTCCCAGTGCATGAGACAGACGACCGAACCCCCTGAAATGTTGCCAAACCTAGGACCTTTCGACAGCTGGTTGCATGATGCTCTGTTCCAGGCTGACCATGCACCAGAGTAATTGTATCTGTGCCTCTGTCAAATGCATTCGAGATGTTGGGCTGTCACAGCTCGGCGACAAATACATCGAATGCTATGTTCCAGACCCATCACCATTCAAAGGTACTAAGGCAACCACTCTGTTCCTCTGAGGGCCCGGCAGCTATCACCACTAGAAAACCTCGGGTGCTGTGAGCTGCCAGGCTTCGTGCATGTGATGCATGTGTTACATGACGACAGAGTGCGTCAGGTAGCCGCCGGAAAAGATTGCTGAAACCATGCCGCCGTTTGACTCCAATTTCCTACCCAGGTTGCAAACACTCAGTCGACAAAGTCTTGTCTGCCTATGAGGAGCTGCGCATCCCAGTAAAATGTATAGGATTTATTAAGAGTGTCTCGAAGGCGTCCTCACGGCTTCATGCACCTGTGGGCTCGGCAGCGCCAGCAGTGCGCACCTCGTCAGGGAGGCGCTGGTCGGGGAGTTCGGGTTGATGAATCCAGAAAAAGTAAGCCCGGGACACGATTACGACGACCGTCGAGTGGCCCAACGCGAAGAAGAAGCCCACAGTAACAGGCCGCCTTCCCCCGGTGGTGAGCCTGGAGAGGACAGCGAGGAAGAGCAGCACCATGGGTTTCCCATAAAGCGGGACCTACGAGTGACGTTATCGATCGCAGCGATGTGGTCTGCATCGACGGCATGTCTGAGCCTGGTCTACACAAGAGTCTCACACTGCACTTGCTAATGTCAAGCACAGCCGAGACATCAACACAAAGGCTCTCGGAGCGGGACCCCAGACAGTAGGCCAACACTCCCATGGTCAGGAGCTCGGGCGCCAAGAGCAGTAAACAGCCTGCCAGAACCGCCTCGGCTGCGTCGGTGCATGTGCAAATCATACCTGCACGCCTGCCGTGGCCCTCCCTTGCATCTCACTGCTGGTGCTGAGATACCGTGAGGAGGGCGATGCCTGTCAAAACCTCGGCGACCCAAGGTTTACAAAGAGCACCACATGGCAGGACTTGGCTGACTTTAGCTTCAGATGCCTTTGATGCATGCTGCCGTACACAAGCAGAACTTGATGGAGTGCACAGTCCTCAACCCTTGCTCGATCCGAACGAACAGCACTCCGAAGCAGCAAGTCTTTGGCACTTCAACATCGTCTGACTCTTGGCCTCTGTGCGCCGAGATACTGGGACTGCCTGTGTCTTGAGATCGGCTGCATCACTTGCTTCCGCCCTGTGTCTCAGCAGCTCCTGATAGTAGTACGGGAATGACAGCTCTGCTTCACTCGGATACTGGCTGTCCTCTGTCAGCGTGCCGTCCGGCATCGCGGCGGCTGCAGAGCCACAAGATGACACAGCGGATGCAGACGGCAGAGCTAAGTTAAGTTCACCTTCACTCAGTGTCGGTAGGCAAATAAAACCCAGGGGAATGCTACTACTCCTAGGGGAGCTGACGGGACAGTGATCAACTCACTGTCTACAATCACCACGAGCATCTTTGGGGAGCCTCCAAGAGAGTTGCTGTATACTTTCTGCATAAATACATATCTGGACATACAAGCAAACTTACGTCTGAATTTACATACACAGACACACGCGCTTACTTGTGATATCTTCATCGTTAGTTTTCGCCAGTACATACGGAACCAGTGCTTAAGCTGGGTCCGGAAAATGGCATCAGCTCGTGTTCATTCATGTGAATCGAAAAAGCAACTGGTACAGACAGGCAGGTTGCAAAGTTGTGCGCAAACAGTCGGCTATCAAAATTCTTCATTCGTCCACGGGTGGCATTTGGCAGAAGGCCGATATGTAGCCTTTTCAGCTCGTGGAACGACTGAAGGTCGAGTTGCACAACCCCCTCCCAGTACCGCAGCCGCACCAAGCTTTGCACAGCAGCAAGCTGCAAAGCCTTTCAATGCAAGGCTCAGCTTTAGGAAACTGCCATTCTGGCTCTTCTCAGTGGACACCTGGCCACGAGTGCTGGCAAATGCCATTCCTCATCAGAGAAATGTGCAGCAGCTCGTTCCGAAAATTCGCTTGATGCCTCTCGATCATGAAGCCCATGTTGCTGAAGTCTCCGCTGAAACTTTCTGTGAGTGCTGGCCACGATCGCCACGGCTCATTCACAAGGCGATCGCTGTTTTCGGACGGATCAGATGGATCCAAACTGACCCTGTCGAAACCGTCGCAGGTACATCGTCAGCGGTGACGGTATGGTTCTGCAAAGTGAGATTCTACGCCTGACCATCGATGAGAACAACTCACAGACCCTGCAGTCTCCCTGGAGTTGCATTGAGATTGAACATCCAGAACTTGTTGAAGGCTAGTCCACTGCAGCGAAACCGTCGTCACTTTCTTCCTTCACGCCCAGCTTCTTGAGGAGTTTGCTGATGTGCTCCTTGCCCACCGGTTCGCTTCATTGGAAAAGTCTTCTGAGGTCTGATTTAAGCCTTCCCTTTGCTTTGGCGGTCTTGCTTGCTCTTTCTTTGCAGGTTGCGGGTTCCTGGAGTGCAAAGGCTGATAGGCCAAAGCGGGCTTCATGCTTCAACTGCAACCACTCGGCACAAACCCCGCACCAGACTCTCAGCAGCACATACGGAGCTCCGGGGACCTTTGAAATGCCCTATGTCGTTCATGCTCTTTCTTTCTTTCTGTGGGCCTGAGGAGAGGGTTTCCCCTCTCCAACTGCCCTCATTGCGCATCCCTTGTGAAGTGGAACGAACGGAAGTAAAGATCATCCAGGCGTACTACCCTAACTTAGAGAGAGGAGGAAAAGCAACATCACAGCATAAAGAACACCATCATGTTTTTTTTTCTGTCTCTCTCTCTCTCTCTCTGCCTCTCTAGCTCAGAGCTGACGGCAGCCTCTTTCCGTTGTGATTGTTTGTCAGTCCTCGGGAAGTCCGGCCAAAGCGTGCTGGCAGGAGAGCACTTCCAGCGTCAAAAGCATGGATCGCTGTGCAGCCGCTGATTCCTGAAAAGACACGGGCCATCTCAAGGCTGGGGTTGCGCCTCTCGATGACTGTTGAACTGTTGAAGCTGCCTCGACCCGCTGTTCCAGTAGCACGGAATCAAAGTTAAGCTCATCAGTGCTACGCCATACAAGCCAAGCTACAGGCGTCATTTCATACCAGAAATTCACACCTCAGTAAAACGCTCTTGCTGTGGTTTCTAACCCGCAGCGAGGCCCTCATCCCCATGCGGCCATGAGTCTCATGGAGAAGGGCAGTGCTTCTGGCGCTTGCGGCTGCCAAGTGCGCACGGAATGCCACCAACCCGGTGGGATGTAGATAGCCTCGTTTCGTCATGTTTCGTCTAGACTTGACATAGGCAGCTGGACAGGTGCGGGATGCTGCTTGGATGCGATCTACAAACAGAACAAGACTGCAAACCCAAGGGCTGCACATCACCAGGGTACAGCATAGCTCGAGCGACCGGTTCCTGCTTCAGATCAAACGAGTCGGCACGAGGGTTTGGCAAGCTGATGCTCCTTCATTTCCTCCACCATGGCCGGATGCGTCAAGCTGTTCCTGTCCAAAACACTACACATACCTACAGTGACACAGACGAAGCCCCAGAGACCAATTATAACAAGTGTCTCTTCGAAACGCCGGTCAATGGAGACGAGCGTGTAATCAGATGTGGACTCGATCGACTGCATGTCGCACTTTTCCAGCAAGATCCTCCGAGAGAGAGACACTTTCTGCAGCGTGGGGCAGGTGCTGTTCACAAAGCACGAAACCACACCTCGGCCATCTGTTGACAACAGTGCCCAAGATCTCCGAACGAACGTCCCTGAAGATCCCTGAAGTTTTCTAGGGAGCTGGAACCACTTGACTTCGTCACACAAGAAGATTAGTACCCGTGGTGCGCAGACCTCGTACTGCTCACCAAACAAGCTGGTGACTGCAGACGCCCTTATGCAAGAGACAGCTTCGAGGTTGTCTCCGAGATAGCGTACATCCGGTTGCTTGTTCCTATCAAAACACCACATGACCAAACCAGGACCTGGACCCCGGGATCCTCTGACCCCCAGTGAATGAACCCCGACTGGGGAGTAGAAGCAGACAGGGAAAGAAGAGAAGAGCCATCATCACACCTGACAGCACTCACTTCAGCAAGTCCTGACAAGAAAGCAGGAATTGGAGATCAGAAATAACTTCGAATACAGATGCTAGAAGCGACAATAAGAACGGCAACACCAACCGAGTGCGGCGAAAACGGAAATTGGTGCTCCTTCCATGTTCCGAGGTCGACATGTTCCACTGGGCTTGTCTGGAGAATCGCGTTCCATACCTGACTCATGGGTGCGAGATAAAAGGGCAATGCTTGTGCTGTGCATGACGGCTGGTGAGAGAATGCATCGAAAACAGTGACACACTCGCTGTTGGTGCAGCTTCTCACGCGACGTGGTTCCATCGCTATAGCACATGCACGCATGCAAGCATACAAGCATGCATACATTATCCGTCCAACCATCCCATCCATCCATCCATCCATCCGTCCATCCTTCCGTCCATGAATGCATGCAGTCAGACGGACCGTGACAGACAGACAGACGAACAGACACACATACATGCATACATACATACATACATACATACATACATACATACATACATACATACATACATACATACATACATACACACATACATACATAGATACATATATACAT